TTCAATGAACACTGGAGTGCAGATATCTCTTCAATATCCTGGTTTCAATTATTTTGGATACATACCCAGAAGTGGGGCTGTTGAATCATACAGAAGTTTTATTTTTTTTATTTTTTTGAGGAGCCTTCATACTGTTGTCCATATTGGCTGTACTATTTTACATTCCTATTAACAGTATACAAGTGTTCTAATTTCTCCAAATCCTTACTTGCATTTAATTTTTTTTTTTTTGATAGTAGACATCCTAACAGGTGTGAGGGGATATCTCACTGTGTTTTTAATTTGTATTTTCCTGATGATTGGGAATGTTGAGCACCTTTTCATATACCAATTTTCCATTTGTATGTTTTCTTTGGAAAAAGATCTATTCCAGTCCTTTGCCCAACTTTTAATTGGGTTATTAAACACTTTCTTCTATTGAGTTGTAGGAGTTTCTTACATATTTTGGAGATTGTCAAGTACATAGTTTGCAAATATTTTCTCCAATGTGTAGATTATTTTCCTTTGCTGTGCAGAAGTCTTTTAAAATAAATATTTTCATGTTAAGAAAACGGAATATTAACAATTATAGCATTCAAGTAAGTCAATATAAAAATTATTTAATTTGGTGTTTGTTAATGTTTTATTTTGAAATAATTTTAAACTAATAGAAAAGCCTGAAGAATAGTGCAAGGAATTTCTTTATACCCTTTACCCAGATTAACCTGTTATTAATATTTTTCCATGTCCATTATCATTGTCACTTTCTCTTGTAAATCATTTGAGATTACACTGCCAACGTTACACCCCTTTATTCCTAAATACTTTGATGTGTTTTTCCTATGAATAAAGGTATCCTCTTACAGAGCCACACTATAGTTATCAAATTCAGGAAATTTAATATTGACACAATACTAATATCTAATTTACTATCCATACCCCAGTTAACAATTGTGCCAGTCATTTCATTTGTTTTCACAAAACTTCCTCAACCATGTGAATCAACTCAGTTCTCTTCTGTGGGGTTGTCTTTATTTAAAACTATGAGTAAGTTTTAACTTTTCTATGAATAATGGAAGATCTACAGCAGACATTGAAAAATTATTTGAAGAAAATATGTAGATGTTATCAGTACTGAGTAATAGCTTAAAACTGGAAATTTGAGATGTTTATTGGCAAGCTGGGTAATTCTTTTTCATGGACATCCATTTTAGGCTTCAAGTGTTTGCTGTTTAATATTTGAACCTATAGTTCACTCCCATCTCTGCCCTGCTTTTATAACTCTGTTTTACAGTGTTTGGACCCAAATTTTAAAAGATTAGGAATGAGGTGAGGGAAGTAGGTATTATTCTGCTATGACCATATTTCTCTGAATGTCCCTCTTCCAGGAAACTATATTTTCTATGAACATCTCTCCAACTGGTAAAGAGCTCAGAAATCTCAACTATACATTTTAATTAAATGAATAACATTTTGAGCATTTCCTCTTTTTCAGGAAAAGGCACTTTATAGCAGCAGAGATTTGTACAGAGCTGGAAATTCAGAAACATCCCAATCCCTCCTTTACCAATAAACACACACACACACGCACACATACACACACACAACCCCTGTCAGAGTAGACCCCTAATATGCTAAGAAGTTGAGTCTGCCACAAAAGCCTGCTCTAGGGAATGACCTAACATCTTATCACCCTCTCTTCATGGTTCTTTCTCTGGAAATTATTAAGCCAAGAAGATCTAGAACACTTGGTTTAAGCAAGTTTTAGAATCCGGAGCATCTTTAAAGAGTGTTACAGCAGCATACAGCCACGTCTCTCTGCTGCAGGTTATCAGAAAACTTAACACTCAGACTCTGCTGTAGCATGCACCTTTGTGTGAGGGAGTCGGAGGGTTTGCCTCCTCCCAAGGATAGATTTAGCTAAATTGATTTTGAGGTTCTGCCTGTGCTTTCGCTCCCTCCCTGCCTCCTATCCTGAATTAATTTGCTCTCTCTGAATGATGAGTTCCTGATTGAAACCTGATTAGCCTGCTTCCTAGAGCTGTGGAAATACCATCCTCCTTAGACATATACATTATGCATACTGGTTTAATTTCTTATCAGTTTGCTTCTTATCTTAATTACCTAAACTTTACAGTTAATGAGTTAGGTTTTCAGGGGTGATAGCACTCAAGAAATAAAACAGGATTTTGAAGTTCTATTTTGGAGTGGTGCTGCAACACCACACCCACTGCCACCCCAGCAGGGAGGAGAATGATTCCCTTTTGTCATCTTCCCCTAACAAGGTGACCTTCTTAATTGGATTGGCAGAATTTTCTGGAAAAATGGTGCCCGGTTGTAGAGCTGCAGCCTCCAAGATTCAGAGGTATTGTGATCCTCTCCACTACTACAGATATCTGGCACACACTTGTTCCTGTCTCTTATACACATCTAGATTGTGATCCTCTCCACTACTACAGATATCTGGCACACACTTGTGCAATTCTTTTTCAAACCAATGGGAATGCTGTTGTGAGTGATAGGACAGGACTGATTAGAAGTGTTACTGTAGTCAAAGTAATTTTGTCATTATTCTCCCAGCTCCCACCATGAACAAATATTAAAAATTCAACCACTGTCATGTGGAGGGTGACCTTAAAGGATGTCTTTTGTAATTGAGGTTATTGGGATCTATTACCCTGGGAAGTTTTTTTCTGCTGAAATATTTTCTCCTATGGACTTATGGTATAGTCTTTTCCTTTTAAAATGAGAATGGTTCACCCACAGATCTTGTGGCTTCTCTCATTTGCAGCTTGATTCAAGAGATCAGGAAATATTTTTGTTTTAAAAGTGTACTGTAAATGTTCTACCTTAAAAAAGTACATTATCTACC